GGGGGGGGGGGTGCTGGCTCCAGCAACTCTGCAAGAGTCTTTCTCAAAGTGGACAATACAGGGGCACCATATTGAAAAAGAGTCCAGGGGAGCCTGAGTAGAGTTTGGTCAAGGACAGAGTCTCTGTCAGGCCTCAAACATTGGCCAGATCTTTTTTGGGTGAAATGAATGCCCTCAAAGGGAGCTCTCTAAGGCGCGGTTAACTTAGGAGCGCATTCAACTTGGCTAAGAAGCCAGCCACGGAGTTTTCTCATCGGTTGGACAATGTTAGTCTCTTCTGGGTATTTCTGGGAACTTTCACTGTTTATTGTTACCTACTCTGTGCAGGACCCTGTGGGCCCCTTATTGTTAAATACGTAACCACCCCTGTCATTAAAATTTAGGGCTCCGTCCAACCAGGCGTGGCTCAGTGGCTGAGCGTCGACCTGGGATCCAGGCGATCAGGGTTCGATTCCCAGTCAGGGCGCATGCCCGGGTTGCGGGCTAGATCCCCAGTTGGAGGCATGCAAGAGGCAGCCGATCAGTGACTCTCTCATCTTTGATGTTTCTATCTCTCTTTCTCCCTCTCCTTTCCTCTCTCTGAAATCAATATATATATTTTTTAAAATAAAATAAAATTTAGGGCTCTGCCCCCTTCCTTTCTCAACTACAATAAACAACACTGCGCAGAATATCCTTGAGCACACGAGTCCCCATCCCCTACATTCAGAATTACTTCTTTTATTTTTAAAATTTATTTTATTGTTGAGAGTATTATAGGTGGCCCCAATTTCGCCCCCTTTGCCCCCCTCCACCTGGCTCCCACCCCACCCCAGTCCTTCCCCTGTCTATTGGATGTGTCCATGGGCTATGCACATATGCATATAAATTCTTTCGTCAATCTCTTCTCGCCCTCCTTCCCTCCTCCTCTCTGAGACCCCTCAGTCTGCTCCATGCGTCCATGTCTGTGGCCCTATTTTGTCCGTCGGTTTATTTTGTTCATTAGGTTCCCCATGAGTGGGATCACGCGGTACTTGTCCTCCTCTGCCGGGCTTATTTCACTCAGCACAGGGCTCTCCAGGCCCATCGCGCTGTCTCGGAAGGTAAGAGGTCCTCCTTCTTCACGGCTGCGTAGTGTTCCCCGGTGTGACTGCCCCACAGCTTTCTACCCATCATCTCCTGACGGGCCCTGGGGCTGCTTCCAGACCTCAGCTGCTGTAAACTGCGCCGCTGTGAACATAGGGGTGCATACGTTCTTTGTGATTAGTCTTTCAGGCTTCTTAGGATATATTCCCAGAAGTGGGGTCACTGGGTCAAAAGGCAGCTCCATTTTTTATTTTTTGAGGGACTCCACACTCTCTTCCACAGGGGCTGCCCCCGTCTGCGTTCCCACCAGCAGGGCACGAGGGTCACTTTTTCTACGCGCCCCACCAGCGGTTGTTTGTTTGCTGACTTGTTGATGGGGCCATTCTGGCAGGTGTGACGTGTCGCCTCATTGTGGCTTTAATTTGCATCTCTCTGGTGATTAGTGATATCTGTTAGCCAACTGTACGTCCTCAGAATTACTTCCTTTAGAACAGGTTCTCAGAATGGGACTAGGTGGGCAAAAGGCGTTAACAAATGCACTTCCTTGTCCGTGGCAGCACCCCTCAAACCCTCTGCTCCCCAGTCCTCACCCACCCTGGCCCAGCCTGCCCAGCGCCTTCTTCCCCCTGTTCTAACCCCTCCCCACCTACATCACAAAACATCTGGGCGCTGGATCAGGTCCAGGCAGACAGGCAGACAGAGGGACTGACCTGTCTGTAGATCCATGTGGGTGTTGGTGACCACCGCGGGCAGGACATGTGGGGTTGTGGCCTGTGTTAAAAGCGCCGGCTCCTGGGCAGCGAGGGGGCTTACCGGGGCCTAGGCGAGGGGCTGTGGCCTGGGGGCTCTGCTATCCCCTGGCTCCTACATGCACCCCCATCCCTGGAGATGGCTGTGAGGCCAACTCTTCAAAGGCAAGAACCTTAGGCTTTGTCCATGATGGCCTTCCACTTTTTAATAACCTCCTCTGGCCCGGCTGGCGTGGCTCAGTGGTTGAGCATCGACCTAGGATCCAGGAGATCCCAGTTTGATTCCCAGTCAGGGCACATGCCCGGGTTGTGGGCTCGATCCCCAGCAGGGGGCGTGCAGGAGGCAGCCAATCAATGACTCTCATCATGGATGTTTCTCTCTCTCCCTCTCTTCTCTCTAAAATCAATAAAAACATATTAAAATAATAATAATAACCTCCTCTGGTTACAGAAGTAAAATACACTTTCTGAAGCACAGTGGTGGCCTCTTTTGCTGTTATCTCAATACTCTGTGCTCAGCTCTTTCTTTCCTCTGTCTGTCTCCCTGTCTCTCCATGTCTTTATTATTTCTGTCTCCCCCTCTCTGTGTGTCTCTGTCTCTCCGTTTCTGCCTCTCTGTGTCTCTCTCCCTCTGTCTCTCTCTGGTATTCTCCAGGATCTTTGGTGCATTTCTGTAGCCAGGCCCTTCCTTTTTCTCAGGGAAGCCCACCGGGCTGGGCTAGAGCCCCCTTCCCCCGACACCCGCGTCCACCTGAGCCTCTTGTCCTCCCCTCCCAGGCTGCTCATGCTGAGTGTGAGGTCTCCCCCACGCCCTGAGAGCAGGATCACCCCGGCAGCAAGGCTCAGTCACACTGGCTGCCCAGTAGCACGCAGCCATCCCTGTCCCGCAAGTCACATGCCCAATCCCCTATAAACCCCCTTTGCTGAGCTCAGGCGTTCGGGGTGGGGGGCGGGCAGGCAGGGCATGGAGACGAAGCATGCCCACTCCTCTGAGGGTGAAAGCAAGGCCTTGTAAATGAGCCAGAATGCGGGGCACGTGCACCCAGCCAACCCCCACCCCTATAGCCCTGCCTGTGCCACCTGCCTCTATTCCCAGTGACCTGCACAGGTGCACTGTGGGCACCAGGCCCCTGGTGACAGCGGGTCCTGAGAGATGCGGACTATCCCTGTACCTGCGTGTGTGTGTGTGTGTGTGTGTGTGTGTGTGTGTGAACACGCACTTGCGTGACCTTGGCCCAGCCCGAGCCCAGCTGGAAACGGCAGCTGTCTCCGGGCACACCGCCTGGACTGTGGCCAGCCTGGAGGAAGGAGCAGAGGTAGGAGGAGGGGAGAGGGACCCTCCACAGGCAGCTGCCAACCCGGGCTGCCGGCTGGCTCCAGCCCCATAAATACCCACGGGCCGGAGGCAGGGCACCCGGACGCGGCACCCGCACCATGGCGCGCCTGGAGCTCGCTGTCTTAGGCCTCACCTGCTGCCTGGCGGTGGTGAGCGCGGCCAAGGTAAGCTAGAGCCCAGCAGGGGGGCGCCCCCCCCCCCAAACCAGGCCTGGAAACGGGGCAGACACAGTGGAGGGAGGCAGGCAGGCGAGTCACTGGCAGAAAGAGGCACCTGAGAGAACCAACCCCAGTCGCAGTAGCATTTCCTGGGTACTTTCTCTACGCTTCGTGCACCCCCATTCATACAGTGACTCGGGCGCAGGTAAAGCACAGGACGCCCAGTGAATCTGAGTTTCATGAACCATGAACAATCCCTGGTGTGGGCATGTTCCACACAGGATACAGAAGGATATACTTATGCTAAAAACAGAAGGTAAATATTCATTGTTTATCTGAAGTCCAAATGACACTGGGCGTCCTGAATGCTTATTTGCCGAGTCTGGCAACTGACTCACGACTCCCCTCTGGCTTCTTCCTCTGTCTGGGGATGGTGACATCCCCTGTTACAGAGGGGAGATGGGGGCCCTGAACGGGCAAGCAATCTGCCCAACATCACACAGCCCCAGTGTCTGAACAGGAGTCTGGAACTTGGTCTCGTTTAACCCGGGGTCTGGCTCCTGAGATGGGGTTACTCCCACCCGCTTGCTGGTGGCCAGGTCCCCTCCAGGCTGAGTCGGGAGGCCTCCAGGGGCATCTATAGAGTTTGTCTTTCCTCTGCCCTCCCACGGGTGTGAAGAACAGAGCAGGGAAAGCTCTTCCAGGACAGAAACCCCACAGCTCCACTCAGGTTTGAATGGGGGGCTCCAGGGCCCCACCGCGCTGTTCCCCTCACCCGGCTACCTCAGCCCTGCTCTCCACACCCCTGCTGCCCCTGGGACCTGCCCCTGGACCCTGGGTGCCTGCTGCCACTGAGGAGGTCCCTCTCTTTCTTCGGGGGAGTCCTCTTCTGGATGCTGAAAGGACCGGGTTTTTCCCACGCTGCTCCAGCAGCCAGGGCCACCTCCCCACACACATACACATTGCCTGGATGACAAGGTCCCATGCCCTTGGCCCTCCCACTGGGGTGCTCAGGCCAATCTCAGTCACACAGAGACACTTCCATGAGGTGACCTAGTCCCCTAGGCACTGACCTGGCTCTCTTCCCCATCCCAGCAGCCGGGAGGTTGGTCAGGAGGCTGGCGGACTGCCTGGAGGCCTGGAACCAGTAGGCTCCTCCTGGGATAGGAGAGAGAGAGGGGCCAGGCCTGTCTGTCTCTGGGTCCTCTGCCCCAGCCCAAAGCCCCTGGCAGGTATTGCTTCTGCCCCTTCCTCTCTCCAAGTCCAGCCACCCTTCTCCCCACCCCAGCAGGGCCCTGAAGTCTCAGCTGGGCCTGGGGTGCGGGGCTGCCCTGCTCTTACCCACCTGGACCCCAGCACAGGTGAGGGATGGGAAGCTGCGACCTGGCACAGCTGTTGGGGGCAGCACTGGGAGGGGATAAGGGCCTGGCTCTGACCAGGCAGCCGCTCCCCACAGGGCGACTTCGGGCAGGAAAGCCTGTTCCCCCCAGGGACAGGGGTAGATACATGCCAGCCCCCAAGTCACTCCTGAGGATCGGGAGTGTTGGCCCTCATGGGGCCAGCTCAGTGTGAGGCCCGGATACATGGCAGTGGCCTGATGGCCTGGGGGGTGGGGGGCTTTCCCAGTGGGGAGCCCAGGCCAACAAGACACAGTGGGGGGGACAAGGGAAGGAGAACTAGGTGCCCCCCCCCTTCAGGGAGCTCAAAGCTGGGCACAAAGCATTCTGTGCACATGAAACATCTGACAACAGGTGACACTGCTGTCACCCACCGTAAGATGGGGAAACTGAGGCCCATGGTCCCAGCCAGGCCAGAATCCAAACCTCCACGCCGCCTCTCCTGGCCTCGTGGGAAGACTTCCCTGAGCAGGGACACTGGCTGAAGCAGCTTCCTCTGAGATTCCCTGGAGGCGGGGAAGGCAGCAAGCTGCTCCTTCAGTCACGTGGACAAGCGGGGGTCTTGGCCTCAGGCGCAGACTGGCCCCCATGAAGCTGTCCCTGGGCCCCGGGGCCTGCTCGGGTGGCCGCCAGCCTGAGCCCGCTGAGCCCGGCCCCTCTCCCCGCAGCTGGGCGCGGTGTACACGGAGGGCGGCTTCGTGGAGGGCGTCAACAAGAAGCTGGGCCTCTTCGGCGACTATGTGGACGTCTTCAAGGGCATCCCCTTCGCCGCCCCCCCCAAGGCCCTGGAGAACCCCCAGCGACACCCCGGCTGGCAAGGTGGGTGATGGTGGGTGCTGGGCAGGCCCGTGGCTGGGGTGGCGTGGTGGGGCCGCCACCCTCGTGCCAGCCCCTCCGGTCACCCACAGGGACCCTGAAGGCCAAGAACTTCAAGAAGCGCTGCCTGCAAGCCACCATCAGCCAGGACGACACCTACGGGTCGGAGGACTGCCTCTACCTCAACATCTGGGTCCCCCAGGGCAAGAAGGAAGGTGAGTCTGCCCCCACCCCCTTACCCTCTAGCCCCCTGAACCCTGCAGGAGGTGCCCAGACCCCCAGAGTTCCCAGCCCTGCCCCTTGGTTGTGTGTGGGGTTCCAGAGCTGAGTATCCCTGAAATCAGCCCCCGGAGGGGTAGAGGGAGGAGACACCTGGCGTCACCGGGCCTTCTCTCCTGCCTCAGTTTCCCGGAACCTGCCTGTCATGATCTGGATCTATGGAGGAGCCTTCCTCATGGGGTCCGGCCAAGGGGCCAACTTCCTCAAAAACTACCTGTACGACGGGGAAGAGATCGCCACACGGGGCAACGTCATCGTGGTCACCTTCAACTACCGCGTGGGGCCTCTGGGCTTCCTCAGCACTGGGGACCCCAACCTGCCAGGTCCGCTGGGTGCCTTGGGCACAAGGGTGGGGGAGCAGTGTGGGGCACTCTTCAGCACCCCTTGATCCCAAACAACTCCTGACAGCCCCCCAGAAAGGCCCAGAATTCTATTCGCAGAGCCAGGAAGCTGGAGATGGGCGGTGAGGCACAGGAGCCCCTTGGCAGCTGTAGCAAAAGAGAAGAGGCTGCCAGATAGACAGACAGACAGGGACCCAGAGAGGGACCAAGAAGGGGGGACAGGGAGCCCAGTGAAAGAGACAGAAGATGAGACACTGAGGTGGCGACTCAGAGGGACACAGAAGCTGCAGGACAGACGACAAGAGGGACCATGTCAGGGAGAGAAGAGCAGCCTGGCCCCCCTGCTCGTGGTCCCCTACCTGACCCCCACACCCCCTCCAGCACCCCACTCAACCAGCCCCCTGGGAACCCACCGTGCACCATCCTGGGCTTGACAAGGGTCCCCATGCAAGGAGGGAGTCCCCTCCCGCCCCCAGTCCCTGAGGAAGGCCCTCCC